AATTCAGGGGGTGAGAAGAATTATATATTTGTAATAATTTAGTAAACCTAGATTTTGTGTGTGTGTGTATGTGTGTGTGTGAAATTTAAATGGTATATAACATAAAAAAATTAAGTTGTTTAAATATTTGATATTGTATAATAAAAAACAATTTAAATGGACATTCAATTTAAAATATTGTCATTTGAATGTAATGATTTTGTGCATGTTTGTACACGGTTGAATTTCAAATGAGAAGATTGCTTCATGCACATATCTTAATATGGTCACACTAGAGGGATAAACTTCAATTGCTTGAGTCAATTGATCGTGTGACATGTGTAGAGGTTCATAATAAAGATAAATATCCTAGATTTCATGAGTTCGTAACTCGATTATTGATGCATGATCCATGTAGCACAAATGATCCTAGATCTCTATATATGGAGTATGATAAATTTATGAAACATTTTCCCAAAAAATTTCTTGATAAGACATCGTTTGATGGGAATAATTACCTGATATACAAAAGAAGAACCTTAGACGTCACCACAATATAATGAAAAAGAATATCGAGTTGGATAATCGAATTGTTGTGACATACAACCCACAACTCTTGATGAGGTTTCAAGATCAAACAACATTGGACACTGAAATAAATCTAATTCAATCAAATATCTCTTTAAATATGTAAATATAGATCTAGATAGAGTAACTGTTGCAGTTACCCAATCTAACTTTGGAATTATTGATATTATGGTGTATTATGAAACAAATAAGTATTCTGATTGTCATTACGTATCTGCATGTGAAGCCTCTTGGATAATCCTCTCTTTTGATATACAACAAAGGTAGTGATCAGTACTGAGATTGAATTTTTATAACCCAAGGCTAAAATTCGTAACCTTTAGACACCAACAAAAACTAAAAGATGTTGTCGAAGAATTTATTGATAAAGCCTCAATGTTTGAAGCTTGGATGGTTTTCAATACAAAATATAATGCGGGATAAAATTTGACGTATGCAAAGAGTTCCGAGAATATTTTATGTACAACCCCAAAGTGCGGAAATAGTTCAAAGGCAACAACGACCGTCAATAGGCAGACAACAATACGTGCTTACAGAAACTAGAGAGTTATACTACTTGAGAAGTATTAAATGTCCAACAAGGATGTACAAATTACAAGCGCTTGAGGACAGTTAACAATGTTCTACATAATGCATTCAAGGAAGAATGTGAAGCATTGAGGTTATTAACCGATGATAAAGAATTTATTGAAGGTATGAAAGAGGTTGTTAAGTCAAGATGTAGGAATCTGCTAAAAAAGTTGTTAGTCACATTATTATTGACAAGTACCATGAGTCACCCACTAATTTTTTTCGGAAAAATGAGAGATGTAATGAGATTTTTTAATAATAACTTCATAAATGAACCATTCGGAGGGAAAAGAGCTATACTCGGAGGTTGTTTTATCCAAATTCTTTCAGGTCTACTCATAGCGTAGAGAGAGGAAATTGTGGGTGCTAACACCAATTCTCACAAATGTGAATGTAATGTAAAGTTTATAGGTTAGCTAAGAATATGAGATTGCATTTATCTACACGCTCTTGCACTGATAGGGACACATAATCTTTTTCTGTATTGATAAGCAAAGTCAAAGATGGAAAACTTGGACAAGTGATCGATGAAACTGCTGACGTTGAAATCCCGCTTAAATTCTTGATGCTTGACACAAGTTACCCCCTCAAGAGTATAGTGGACTTTACTTATACAAACCTATTAGAGAACATGAAAAAATTATTCTTTTTTAAAGATAGTGCATTATTAGCACCCACAATCGAATTTGTTAAATGACAAATGAATTTGTCTTATCCCTTATTCTAAGAGGTAAAAAAGAGTACTTAAGTTCTCATTCTTCATTGCAAACATATTTAGATGTAGTTGTTGAAGACGATTAGATAACATTTCAATTCTTCTTAATGAAATCAAATGTTAGGGGATTGAAACCATAAAATAGTTTTTAAAAGGGGGTACCGATTATGTTATTGAAGAACATTGACCAAATATATTGATTGTGTAATAGTAAAAGATTAATCATTAAAGAGATGTGAAAGAACATTATCAATGTAATTGATGTTTCGAGAAATCACGTTGGAGAAAAAGGTTTACATACCCTGAATAAAATTTGGTATCATCTGATAGAATTCTCAATATAATAGTCTTATGTTTTTCTATGACTATAAACAAAAGTCAATGTCAAACATTGTCCTTTGCTATATTATTTTTAACCAATTCGGGATTTACTCATGGTTAGCTTTATGTTACTGTTTCACGAGTAAGAAAAAGACATGATTAAAAATATTGGTTCTAGATGAAAATAAAAACGCTTACAAAGATACAAAAAATGTTGTGTAACTAAAGTCTTTCAAAAAATTTGGAATTAAAAAAGATTTTTTCGAGTACACTTTCAATTTCTCAAATATTATATTCTACTTTGTCGTTGTTTTCCATTGATTAAAATTTGTGACAGAAATATATTTACTTGATTTTGGAATAAATATTTCATTGAAAAATTTCAAAATCGACAACAGTTTCGTTCGACCCCGTGCATCGCACGGGTCAAAATACTAGTATATATGTAAAATAGAGTTTAGTTGTTGTAGTGTTGACACGTGACATGCCACATGTGCATCCACATATGCACCATTTATGAAGTGGATATATGCATTGCACCCATTTTAAATATCTTTTAATACATTTGTATAAAAAATTTCATTTTTTAATAATTCTAAAAATATATAATTTCACCATTGTAAAATATATATTCCGTATTTTGAACACAACACACACACATGAAATTATTTTTATACTATCCACAACTTATTTTAGTTTATTACTTCTCAAAAAAATGATTGTATAAATTTAATCACATGTGCATATTTATTAATTAAATACTTTGTTTCAAAAATTTTATCTTACTACATTATTTGTTTTATTGCTACATATATTTTTCAACAAAGTAAATATAATAAAGTTGGTTTAATTAAAGGGTGACAACTGACAAGTGACATTATGACACATATACATTCTCTAATGATGTATCATTATGCATGCAACTAATCCACTTTTTATTATAACATTTTATTAATTCAAACCATTTCTATTAGTACTTAATTCAATGACCATTAATTTTGTATAATTTNTTTTATTGCTACATATATTTTTCAACAAAGTAAATATAATAAAGTTGGTTTAATTAAAGGGTGACAACTGACAAGTGACATTATGACACATATACATTCTCTAATGATGTATCATTATGCATGCAACTAATCCACTTTTTATTATAACATTTTATTAATTCAAACCATTTCTATTAGTACTTAATTCAATGACCATTAATTTTGTATAATTTTTTTGTTTTTAAATTAACATACTAATATATATTCCATCAATCTAAAACATATTTTGTCACTATTAGAAAATCAAAACAACTAAAATTTTATTTATAAAATCTCATAAGTTTAGAATATATACGAGCCCGTGCGAAACACAGGGTAAACACTAGTTAACAAGTAAAATACTAATCAATCATTACTAATTCGAGAGGTTGAATCAGTTCAACCCATGTGACGGATTAACCGACACACTTGCCTCTCAAATTCGAGAGGTTCGATCCCATTTTTAGAACATTGATATCAACTATTCCATTCCCAATTTCAAACTTTCTTGTGTGTTCCCATCTATAAATTGGCCCCAAAAAAAGTGGACATAATAAGGAGTATCATAATAGTAGGGAAAAAAAAAGAACAAAATATTGACCCAATTAAATTACTACTACTCCTAAATAACCAATAAATTAAACAATTCATGATCGAGCAAGCTATCTACAAGCTAATAATTAATTGAGCAAATGGATCTACACCGTACCACTGTTCCCGGACATGGGCGGCGGAGGCCGGCGGCCGGCGAGTTCAAGGAGGAGGGGGAGGAGGTTGGTTGATGTTGTTAGTATTAGCATTATTAGTAGTAGCCAAAGCAAGGATGGAATTGGCGAGTCTGTTGATGGCGTCGACGAGGCCGTTGATGCCCTGCCGGTTGATCTCAGCCGTCGATTCCTCGAGACGGAGTCTCCTCTGCTGCAAGCTCACCATCTCCCTGTGCCTCCTCTCCTCCCTCTCCTCGCTCGTCTGAATCGCCTCCGCTATCAGCGTCGCACTCGCGGCAAGGGCCGAGCTGCCGCCGCCGCTCTGCGCCGGCGCCGGAAGCTGCTCGTGAGTTGTCGCCGTCGCCGTCGTTATTCTTCTCCTCTTTGCTGCCGGTGACTCGGAAGAGCTCTGCTCCCTTGTTTCAGGATCTGAGCTATCACACATCTCCAAAACATAAACCAAAATAAAACTAACGCAAAAAAATTTTAAAAAATAAATAAAATGAAACTTATAATTTGTCCTCAAATTATGTTGTATGTTTATAATTCACTTATTTTCGTAACTTATTTGAAAATAATATATTCATGTTACATCTTCTTTCGTAGAGTTTTTGATGTCGTTTTTTAATATGTAAAAATTATTTTTTGGTTTCACTATAATTCTTTAATAAGTTATATTGAAAATAATTTTAGTCAAACATCGTAAATTAAAATAGATAATTTAAAATGAGACGATGAATGAATGCATTAGGCCCGTTAAGGACTCGGGAGTTTATTGAGGATTAAAGAAGGTAAGAATGATTAATTTTTTAGATAATCAATGTCATAATATGACATTAATTATTAATACCAAAAAATCCCAACTACTCCGTATTACTTAATTTTCTTCAGAAAAAAAAAAGAAAAAAAACCACGTGAGCCAAAATACAACAGGACCAGGAGTAATGAATAAGAAACTCAGTCAAAGCGGTCAAACTGGTGTGGTTGGTGACCACTGACCAGTGTCATAGACTTTAATTGTACAGGCGCCCCACCCCAATGGCAAAAAGGGGAAATAAAAAGAGACACAGAAAGGAAGTAGAGGACATTATAGTAATTCTCCCTTCTTTCATGAATCATTTAAGGCTTTGACTCCACAATGCCACAATAGATTTTTATACTCTTCTCTCCCATAATGTTTGTAACATTTTTCATTGATTATATGATAAAATAAAATATTTCTAATCTAACTTATTTTGAAAAATCTTTTATGAAGTTTTTAAATATGTAAATTTTATTTTTTATTTTTATACCAATATTTAAATAAAAATAAATTTAAAAAACTTAATATTTTGTCTCTTTTTTTGAAATGAATCTAAGGACGTAAGGTATATATATATAACTAGAAAACAATTTTGTTCTTTTATGAAAATTATTGCCTTTATTATGGTAATATCTTCCGTCCCTAATTTGATTACAAATTTGAAATTATGAAGCAAACTTCTTGTCTTTTCAAATTATTTTATTTACCAATTCGTATATTAATTAGAAATAAAAATTACATATTAGAAAAATACGTCAAAAGTTTTACAAAACAAGAGGTGAGAGGAGTATTTTAATTTATCAAATAATTAATAAAAACATACAAATAAACAAAAATTATCGAGAGGAGAGAGAAAAAAAGATTGTAATCTATTTCGGGACGGAGAAAGTAACATTCTTCTCAATTTATATTCATATGATTAATTTTAATTACTTTATGTACCTATTTAGTTGGTTAATTTATAAAATAATATAGTCTTGTCACTTCTTGTTTTGTAGAACTTTTGATGTCTTTTTAAATATATAAATTTTATTTTTAAATTTTACACCTACAATTAAATAAATTAAATTAAAAATTAAATCGGTTAAACTTCATAAATGGAAACGGAAAAAAAACATTTTAAGACAGAGGAATAGATTATTAGTTTAAAATACAATCTAAATACTACCTCCGTTTCTCAAAAGAGTTCCTCTTTTGACTTTGGGGGAAAATAAGAAAGTGCTAAATTGTAGTTGACTTTCCAATTTTGCCCTTGATGTGATGGGTAAAAGTAAGATGTGATAGTTTAGTTGTTAGTGAAAAAAGTATGATGTGATATGTAGGGTATGAAAAGGTAGGGGTAAAAGTGGTTTTTTAATAGAAAGGAGAAGTGTTTTAAGAAAAAAAAATGAAATAAGAAGGGTTTTAAGAAACGGAGGGAGTAGCATTTAATGTTTCTAAATTACTCCCTTTACCCTCAAAATAAGCATCTTCTAAGAGCAATTGTCATAATGGTGAGGAAAATTTTGTTTTATTGACATGCACACAAAATAAAATACTCCGTATATAGATAAATGCATTTGAAAAGGGCCATGCAACTATGTAATAAAAAAGTCTTCTACTTGCGCTATATCCCTAAAAAAACTTTAGTTTTGTTTTTTTTATATCAAATTTGATAATTTTTTATTACAAACTAAACATAATGTACATAAATAAATACTAAAAGATTTGATAGATCAAAGTTATATTTTAAGATGAATTCAATTATATTAATTTTATATTCAAATTAAATATAATTTTTTTAAATAATTTGTGATAAAAAGTATTACTGTTTGACTAAAAAATTCAAATTAACAAGATTTTTCCAAGGAGGTAGTAAAAATCACCATCTAGCCCTTCTCTTAAATGCTAAGCTCTCTTTTATTGTTTAAGAAAAGTGATTAATCGGTCCAAAAAGTGATTAATCATTTCTTGACAAAAAAAGGACTTAGATTTGTGAGGGCAATAATGTCAAATGTCATGAGAAAGTGGGAGGGTGTGAGAAAAGAGTACCTACTCTGGGGAAGGGCTGGGCAGGGCAAGGTATGTACAACGGTGGCTGCTGCGCCACCGGAGGAGGAGGTGGCGGCGGTGGCGGATGTGCCACCACCACTTCACGATGTTCAAGTGGCTGCTGCTGCTGCATTACTGGTGGCGGCAATTGAGGAACGAAACCTGAAGTCGAAGCGCCGGCGACCCCGACGACCGTTCTTTGACCGGCCACCGGCGGCTTCCTCTCCACAACCTCAATCAGCGCGTCGTAAATTTCGCGCAGCATGTTGGTGGGCAAGTTGTTGTCTTTCCTCTCGTTCCTCTCCATCTTCCAATACGACTTCTCACCGCCGCCGCCGCCGTGATCGTGGCCGTCTCCGCCGCCGCCGCCGCTCCGGTGAAGCAGTCTCCTGTCATACTCTCTCACCTTCTTGAAATCCCTCATGAGATTATCCCACTTGTCATTGCACTGGTTCTGGCTTCTCAGACACCCATTGCTCCAGCAATAGTCCTCCACCCACTTCCACCTCAGCTCCGTCGGCTTCCCGCCGCCGTCTCCGCCGGCTTGCCGCCTCATTCTCCGCTCGTCGTCCATCCTCTTCGCCTCCACCAACACCATCGTCTCCTGCACCGTCCAGTTCCCCTTCCTGTACTCCCTCGCCCCGCCGCCGCCGCCCTGGTTTCCCACCACCACTTCCATGCAAACCAAGAATTGGTTGAAATTTTTGAAAGGAAAAAGAAGGGAGACTTTGTTTAATGGGTAAGAAGGGAAGAAAAAGACATTCCCTTTAATGGGTAAGAAGGGAAGTGACTTTAGATAATGTGAGTTCCCTATATGTATGTAATAATGAATTTGAAATGTGTATATGGTTGTGATCTTTTAAGAATCTTGAAAGCTGGGAAGTTGGAATAAAAAAGTACTCCTTGGCTAGCTAGAGATTCAAACTAGTAGGAAAGAGGGGACTTTAGGAAGTGTGTGCAGGGGGGTGGGGGAGAAGAAGCAAGGGAGAGGGAGAGGGAGAGATAGACAGTTGTAGAAAGGTATGAAAGCCTAACATACATTATGATTTGAGAGAAAAGGCCAAGCAAATCCACTAGCAACTGATATATCCCCCATCACATCCCTTAAAAATTTCACCCACATACAAAGAAGGATGAACTCTATTCCTAAAGTTTTTCCAGATTCAATCAAAGAGTCACTGAGAAAAGGCAAATTGAGCTTAGATCGTTGATTAGTGCTTAATAGTAGAGTCTGCACCTGATATTTACAAAGGTCTTGACTATAATGAAAGTTTTACTCAAATTGTCAAGTTGACAGCCATAAAGACTTTACTCGCAATGGCAGATCAAGTTTTTTTCATGTCGATCCTCGTGAAGAAGTTTTTATGCGATTGCCACCAAGTTTTACTCCACCACAGCATGGCCTTGTGTGCAGACTCCATAAAACTTTTTATGGGTAGAAACATGCTCCAAAGTTGGTTTGCTAAACTTTCTAGTGTCTTAAGAAAAATGGCTTGGTCCAATCCATCGTTGGCGTGTGCACAACGCGTCGTGTTGATTTTTATATGTCTGGCGAAGATTTATATAGAAATCTTCGTGAGGAAAGAAGAAGAACACTGAAGATTGCAGCGTAGAATTTGGCACTGATCTAACGAGAAGGAGAGAGAAAAATATCTGATAGGAATTTGTCCAAAATCAACAAAAATACAATACAAGCAAGTATTTATACTAAGGGACTCTAAGCCACATCATCTACTTGTCCAACTCAGCAAATAAGAGAAAACAAAGATAATGAATTTATCTACTAACACCCCCCTCTCCCTCAAGTTGGAGGGTGAGCCAACTCCCAACTTGGGCAAGATCCGATGATGTATAGGTCCTGGCAAGCTTTTGGTGAACATGTCAGCGAGTTGAGCATGAGTGGAGACATGATCAAGTATAATGAGACCCTCTTGTAGCTTCCCACTAACGAAATGCTCTTTACTTATTTATTATATGTGGTTTTCCTTTTTTTCTCGTTTTCATCCTGCACAAATGGATCATATATTAAAATGATTAGCAAATACCAACGGTTTATATTATTTATTAGATGGGCGCTAAAAGTATGGGTGTTTTTTTTCGTACTTTTAAGAATAGAAGGATATAACAATTAGCTCTTTAAAAGCTAATGTAGCATTGTGTGTGGCATTTCACATTCTTTTTTTGATATTTGATTAGCAAATACCAACGGTTTATATCTTTTACCAGATGAACGCTAAAAGTATGAGTTTTTTTTCCATGCTTTTGAGAATAGAAGAATATAACAATTAGCTCTTTAAAAGCTAATGTAGCATTGTGTGTGGCATTTCACATTCTTTTTTTGATATTTGATTAGCAAATACCAACGGTTTATATCTTTTACCAGATGAGCGCTAAAAGTATGAGTGTTTTTTTCCATGCTTTTGAGAATAGAAGAATATAACAATTAGCTCTTTAAAAGCTAATGTAGCATTGTGTGTGGCATTTCACATTCTTTTTTTGATATTTGATTAGCAAATACCAACAGTTTATATCTTTTACCAGATGAGCGCTAAAAGTATGAGTGTTTTTTTCCATGCTTTTGAGAATAGAAGAATATAACAATTAGCTCTTTAAAAGCTAATGTAGCATTGTGTGTGGCATTTCACATTCTTTTTTTGATATTTGATTACCAAATACCAACGGTTCATAACTAGATGAGCGCTAAAAGTATGTGTGTTTTTTTCCATGTTTTTAAGAATAGAAGGATATAACAATTAGCTCTTTAAAAGCTAATGTAACATTGTGTGTGACATTTCACATTCTTTTTTTGGCATTACATGTTGACATACTACATTATAAGTCAATTTTTCCAAATTCACAATGGGAGCTATTTGGCCTTAATTCTAATATTTTATCATTATCCAAAATTAAAAGGGATCCCTCCTTTCCTCTGCTAGAAGCCTAGAATAGTAAAATGGCTGTTCCCTGGAACGTGGCTGAAATTCCTGGCCGGAATCTTGATTTGCCGGTGAAGTGTGGCGCGTTTCCCGTTCACCCCTCCCGAGCATCCTTGAGCCGGGTGCGTTGTACGCCGGTTCCGCAGCAGGTAAGCAATATTATCCCCTCTCTCTCCTTTTTCTTCATTTAAAAGGAGAGAAATAGAATTGATGTAGCAATTGGACCTGCCGGCGTTAAGATTTAAGCTTTGCTTTCTTGATTTTAAATTCTTAATTGGGTTCAGATTTTTTTTTACTATTGTGTTCTGATTTCCTATATAGGCTCTCTTTGATTTGGGAAATAATTGATTTTTGAACTGATTCAGGATCATGGAAAATTTGTTCTTGCAGAAGAGTATTTTCCACTTGTTATATGAAATAGGTTTAGGAAAAATGTACTGTTGGTCCTCAGATGTTGCAAAACAGCACTTTAGTACCTTAGCTTTCAAGTGCAACATTTTCATGTCTCCAGCTCTTAAGTGATGTTGTGAGTTTAGTCTTTTGTAGCTTTAATACCAGAAAATCAAAAGTGGGATATTCCTAAGATCATTGTTGGAGTATAAAAACCTTTCCGTGGGCAGACAACCCAAAGCTTGAGCTTTTGGTTGAGTTGGTTACTTGATATTGTATCAGAGTTTTGCTTGAGTTGGGTTTTGAGAGTGGTGCAGTAGAGCTTTAAAGGCCATTGCAAGGATAACTTAGGTCAACAAGTATTATGACAACATCAACATCTTGCTTGCAATGTTGTAACAAGCGTTAGGTTCTAAACGGGTGGTATACTAGAGTCTAATTGTGGATTAATAAGGGTTAGACGAGATTTGAGTATAACTAAGCAGGTCTAAGTGCTTTAATAGGTTGAGAATGTATGAACAGATCTAACATTGTAATAGAGTTATTTGCGTTATAAAAAGGTCCAAGTGGAAAAACATAGATGATAGATGTGGTCAATTGCAGTCTATAATATAGCGCGTAGTTACGAATTATCAAGGCTACACGGGAGATTATAAGAATAATGTTGGCATATCAAAGGAAACCTATTTCTCATTGAGGCTTCTTGAAATAGGTAACTTCAATAGCATGGTCCACATTGTTAGAGTGTGTAACTATTTCTGGGCCTACAATCACAACCTTGAGTTTTTGGTTGAGTTGGTTCCTTAACATGGTGTCTGAGACTTGTTGACCCGGTTTTAAAAAATTAGTGTTTACGTGCAAGGCTCGAGGAAAAACGAGTCTCGCCTAAGGGGGCGTGTTAGAGTATTTAACTTTTCCTGGGCCTACAACCAGAAGTTTGAGGTTTTAGTTGAATTGGTTCTTTAACACAGCCGTTTCTTTTCCACATTGCAGATTGATTCAGGGATATTATGTGAGCCTTGTGGTGGCAAAGGATGGCTGCTTTGCGATTTTTGCAAAGGGCAAAAGACCAATGTACAATCTGCAACTACAAAGATATACCGTCGTTGTCCTTCTTGCAGGGCTGTAAGTTGCTTCATTAAGCACTGCAAATCCTTATGTTGTGAATGGAATTTGAACAAAAGAAAACTACCATTTTCCATTCTGTCTATGTTTTTTTAAATAAATAACATCTCTAACACGTAACTTCAATTTAGTTGAACTAACAAATACATTCCAAATAGCTATATAGTTGTGCCTTGGTGGTACAATATTCTTTTTATGGGGGCAGATGGAATAATAGTTTTCCTCTCCTTTCTTGTTTTATGCTCTAATACACCCTCTCACGTACAAACAATAAGATTTGTTTTTTGTTCGAGTCTTGCACATGAAAATTAATGTTTTTTTGAATTGGGTGACGGTGAGTTTTGAACTCTTGAGCTCTTGGTCAACAAGGTTTTGAAACTATGTTAAGGAACCAACTCAACCACAAACAAAACATTGTGATGGTCCCTACGGATGTTTGCACAATGTGATTTCTGTCGAGGGCACTGATATCAGACACCAATTCAACCACAAGCTCAAGCTTATGGTTGTAGGCCCAAAATAATTGTAAACTTAAACAAAAAAAATTCTCCTTACTCCTGATTTATAGTGTATAGTATCATGCTTTTAAGGAACTAATAAAAAAAGTGTAAATTCTATAATTGGTCTTTTGAAACGGAAGATTTTTCATATTAGTCCTCTATTACCAAATATTACGTTCATGATCCTTCGTTCTTGGTTACCCTTCCACTAATAATCCTTTGTTTGACCTCATGTCATGTTAGTGTTAAGTTGAAGATTAAAAATGTAATTTCACATCGATCATAGCTAGGTCGGGCCACTCAATTAATTTCACCGAACATAACCTTGGCAGAGTTGAGACTATCTGGTTTTCTTGTTTACATGATTATAATGTTTCCTGTGTGCAGATCGGATATGTTGTGTGTTGGAAATGCAAAGTTTTCAAGTGTGTCACATACCCAAATGCTTATGATGATGGGAAGTAGAGTTTGACTAAAACAATGAATATATACCAAAATAGGACTTCTATGTTTTTATTCCCGAAATAGGATTTACGTTACCAAACATGGTCATGTACATTATCAAAAAAGTATAGTAATGTGCACATGTACAGTGCCACATTACTACATTGCGAAGTCATATTTCGGAAAAAAACATTAATGTCCTATTTTGCTACTTTTCTCTATGTTTTAGTTCTCCTATTTAGGGTGATTTCTATAGAGTTTGTAATCGCATTTTGACGTGTGAACTAACATTTTTTTTAAATGTTATTTGTATACCATTTTTAACACCGCATTTGACATCATTCTTCTTAATTGAGATCACAAACATTCGATAATTTTCACGGTCTAAAAATGTTTGTAAGAAAAGTGGTGTCAAATTTGGTTTAAAATGTTTGTAAGAAAAGTGGTGTCAAATATGGTGTACCCCAAACATGGTTGATTTTTTTAAGCTTAAGAAGTCACTATCAACAAGTATGGAGTATAACTTATCAAGACATATCATTTTACTTGCGAAAACTTACAATATATAAAGTGGAGCAATATGGAGTAACTGTTAAGAAAAGAAATATCTTTTTATAGCAAGTTATAGTAGTAATATCTTATTTTACGTGTGATATCTTATTTGGAACATGTTAGTTGCGTAGTTGACAAAAGTCAGGGAATGCCAAGAGGATAGATTCGAGTTCGATTTCTGGTAACTGCGTTGGGTGGCAATTATGTTATGTATATGGTCTCTACAAGTCCCAAGTGCAGGCTCTACTTTTTGCCACTAAACTGCGATTAAAGTCCAATTTATTTTTTCTCAATAAATGTGTGGCCGGGTCTGAGAAGGTCATCGTGGATGAGGCTCATCTTTTTTTTTGAAACATCAATCCTTTACTAATACAGGAGAAATGTTGACCATTTTTTCTCACTTATGACTTTGCTTTTAAATGGTAAGTGTGCGTAAATAAATGCGGATTGATCCCTTATGCTCGTAAACGATAACATAATTTATGGTATTTATACCATAAAATTAATTTAAATAAAAATTTAAATAAGTAACATAAATAAATAAATAAAAAATTATTCAGAATAATTCCAACTTTGTTTGATCTTTCAAAAATAATCTCACCTTTCACTATGATGCATATTAATTCAATTTTACTGAAATTTGCAAATTTTGGGTCGCTATTAAATTACTTGTTATGCGCAACAAAGTGAAAGTTAGGATTCTTTATGAGGATTTTTTGGTTTTTTGAAATTTTCATTTAAAATTTTAAAACTACATTCTACCTCCATTTTTTAAGATTAGTCTTACTTTAAAAAATAAAAATAATATATATAAAAATCAATATATTAGAAGGTTCTCTTGTGATTGTGTAATTCTTACGGTGGTTTGGTGGAAGGGTTGTTACACGGACGTAGATCCCACAAACGTTGGAGAGTTGCTTTGAACTACGTAAACAATTCTCATCTACTGTTTACTGCTTTTACTTTCTATTCTGCGTGTGTGCTTGTGATAGAGAAGATATTATAGTACTCTGTCTGTCATTTGTTACTGTAACAGTGCTGCAGTATCTTATCTACAGCATAGTTGTTTGATCTGTTTGCGTAGCTTCCAATTGGTGATTTCCGCTGCATCCCCACAAACTTACATGGGGAACACTTACCTAAATTTTTTAGAAAAACAAATAAATACACATCTAGGGAGGACAGGACTGAAGCTTTGGATATTTTTAATTACATTATACAATACAATTACCTATTATGATATGATATGATATATGTAATTACATTATGAAATATAATTGATTCAAAATATGTGTCACCATGACATACTGTATTTATGCTAATATTCTTTATGATTTCAATATTATTGAGTAAATTTAATTATGGAATAGAGATCATCTCTTTTATAAAAAAAATATTTTTGTAATTTTATTTTCTTCACTTTATTTAAAACAATCACATTTGTTTATGACAAACTTAAATGAAGTTAGTTTTTATTTTATTTATTTTTAATATTAATATAAAATAAAATATAAAAACATATGTTAATCTCTACATTAAAACACTATAAACAAAAAATAAATAGACTAATTTTTTAAATGATCAAATATTTAAGTCAAATAAATTAAAAAAGAATGATTTTACGTGCTTATATTATTTTACATTCAAAAAACTAAAAAAATCAAATGTTTTTGTAAATTTATATTTAAATCATTGGATCACTATTGTTTTTCATATTCATTTTTTGAATTAATGCAAGGGAGTGGAATAATTAGATTTTTAGTGTATTTTAACTATAATTTTTTAAATCGTAGTAAATTTAATCTTTTATTTTCTGAATCATGCAGGGAGAGAAGAATCATATTTTTTGAGTAATACGAGGGAGGGTAATCATATTAATGCAAGATAGACGAATAATATTTATTTCACTAATATAAATTAATGTGTCGATGTGGGGAAAAAGAATCATTTTTGAAAAATAAAATTGGTAATCTATTTTTAATTAATACAATGAAGAATATTTATAGGATCACATTTTTTTAATTAAACCAGGCAAAGGAGAAGCATATTTTTAAAAGATTAATTTGAGAGAAGAGAATCATGTCATTACGAGGAGATTAATCAATTTTTTCAATAATCTAAACCAATGATTGGATCATATATTTTGCCAATCAATGACGATTGTATAATAATTGAGTTTATCAATGAGAACAAATGTTTGTAAATCTCAAACAATAAAATAATTTTTAATCTGAAGAATGTTATATCCATTATGTTATCTAGGCACATTGATCAATCATTTGAATTGCGCGATTTATATACTACAATATGTTGCACCCAATTTTGGGTGCACCCAGCCTTAAAATGAATCAACGAAACAGAGCAATCGTGCAGAAGATTTGGATTGCCGCAATGACCCTAGGTGCGACACGATGGAAGATCTGGATTGTCGCAAGTCTGCGCGGAAGAGCGGCAACCCTAGGTGTGGACGGGAGAGACGATTTAGGCACTATTCATCTGGAAGGAACTGATAAACCCTAGGTCCAATTATCGTTGATGCCGACAGCAATGAAGATGTAGATAAAGATGACTTGGAGTGATTTGGAGTAATGTAAATTTGATTATACTATACAATTATATTTCCAAATTTGAAGAGAATGAATGGTATGTTACTTGAGAATGAACACTACGTAATTTGAAAATGAGCACCACTTTGTTTCAGAATTAACACTAAGTTATTCATAAATAATTATTATAATTGTATTGTATGAATGTTGAAAATGAGTACTACGTTATTTCAGAATGAGTACTACGTTATTTCAAAATGAACGTTTATATTTGTGTGAGAATGTGTACTACTTTATTTTAGAATGAATATTACTCGAATATACCTTACTTCTGGTACAACTGACTGTACCATATACCTTCCTTCTGAACTGTATAATAGTACAAGGTTAACCATTGAGAGTTGTGAAAAATTATTTTCATCACAATTATAGTATTAAAAAATAAAGCCTTAGAGAAAGTTTACATGCACAACATAAATGAATTATATTCTCTATATCATTTCATAGAGGATTACTCTTTGAGTTTCAAATAATATATAATTTTCAATAGCTTATATTTCGTTATGACTTATCATTATAAAAAAAAAGTTAATGTCAAACATTGGCATTAATAATATTATTTTTACCAAATTGGTATTCAGTTACTGTTAAATTTATATTATTATTTCAAAAGTGAGAGTAAAGTTAAATAAGACTTTGAAATGTTAATTTTTAATTGTATGTAGTAGAATTTTCATTAGCGAATTCTATATATTTTATGTTGTTTGATACTAGATTCATACCCGTGCGTTGCATGGGGAAAAATTCGTTGCAAAATAAAAATAACAAAATATTCGAGGTTTGCAAATCAAATTTTGTAAACCACTACAAATCCATAATTCTTGAAGTTAAACATTAAATTTATTTATTTATTTACTTATTGGTTTATTTATTTTGTTAGGAAAAAAGAAAAAAAATGACTAACTTAAGTATTCATTTTTTAATTTTTTTATCCCAATTGCATACATTGAGTAGTTCCATAGTTCAAATTTTTTCATATAAAAAAATACTTCTTATTTCTAATAAAAAGTTAGTTTTACCCATTATTTTTTCATAATCTACCCATCAAATCTTACTTTTACTCATCACATCAAAAGACTTTTTTGGAAATTCAATACCAAAATACATTTTTTTTAAATCTCTTAAAAATCAATAACTCCCATATTTTTAGGACCGGAGGGAGTAGTTGAAAACTGACGAAGAAAATGTTTAGAAAATGATTCTTTTAATGTAAAAAAAAGTTGTGTAAAAACTAAGCTAAAGAGTAACGAAAAAAATACAGAGTAAAAAATAAAAATTATTCTAGAGCATATACCTTTGAAGAAAAAAGGATTCTTTTGATATACTTCTTTTGACCAAGTTAGTTTTTCCCCATATATATTATTTTCACACAACCAAGTTAGTTTTTCCCCATATATTTAAATAACCAACTTGGTGGGAGAGAGTACTACGTACTCGGTGGCAATGCCAATCCAGAACACGCCTTAAATTTGGATGAGAAATGTTACAGTTACAAACTCAACTATAACAAAATATAAAAATTTATCATTAATGTATTCAGACTTTTACGTTTTAAGTATTAAAAATCAATTTGGATTTGGAATGCAAAATGTTCAACAAAATAGACTCTGCAGTTTGCACATATACTCCTTATATAGGCGGTTTAATGATTACTCTATAATGCCTTGAATCACTTATCACTCATCCACTCAAGCTGAGGAAGCTTTTGACAGGCAATTATATACTCCCTCCGTCTCTAAATATTTGTCACATTTGTATTCCCGAGGCAAAATATCAAGTTTTTTCAATTCATTTTATTTACATATTGGTATAAAAATAAAAAATGAAATTTACATATCAAAAAAACTACATGAAAAGTTCTTCAAAATAAGAGGTGTCAAGAATATTTTATTTTATCAAATAACCAATGAAAAACGTAGAAATAAACAAAAGTTCCCGCGACTGCTGAAAAAGCTAGTGTTGCAAATATTTTGGGACGGAGGAGTATGCACCAAAAAAAGGATAGCTGACACTCTTGTGATGCAACTCTTGACTTTCAAATTTGGAGAGGGAAATTAAATTTTACTCCGTATTATTCACTCCGTCCCACTGTCTTTGTCCACTTATATTTTGGCACACCATCCAATGCAATTCTTTAATCCATTTTATCTTGTAATTTGTATATTAAAAAATTATAAAAATTATATATTAATAATTTATATGTTAAGACGAATCAAACAAGATCACACATGACTATTTTTAGGCTTACACATTGAGAGAATTTGATGAGTCAAAGTGCTTAGATGAACAGTTCCAAAAGTCAAAACTGGACAAAGACAATGAGACAGAGGTAATATTTACGTAGAAGCGTGCGATGGAGAAATAGGAGAAGAAAGTGGGCCGTTTGAACTTCCCTACTAAATGCATGTGTAAAAAGAAAGTAGTAGGAGAAAGAACCCTTCGCTTCCCAATTAATGCATATAGGGAATGCGCGCTCCATATTTAATAATTAACGCCTAAGATTTATTGGATGAGGCCATCAACGGTGGATAATGATCAAGGTTTGGGCGAGAAAAAAATATTAAAAAATTAGGTCTGAATTCTTTTGCTTTTGCATATACTATACATTTAAAAAAATTTTGTCACAATGAAAATTAACAAAAACCAAAATACCCGAACAAAAACCAAAATACTGGTTTAAAAAAAAGATGCACTGCAAATTCTAAAATATTAATCCATTCGAATAATTTAGAATACCCGATCAAACGAGGGAACCTATCCCTTAGCAAACCAAATCAGCCGAGCTCTCGACCTTCGGGCAGAAGCCGCTGGGCTAGTCGCCTGCCGCGAGTCCGCATTTTAGCCTCCTCCGCCGTCCGCGCCACCGCCACTCCAGGTCTCCGGAATCGGATCGCGATTTGCGACTTCCAAGTGCTAGGTTGTTTTTTTTTTATAAAACCTAATTATTTTTATACAGTTATCATATGAAGATTATTGGTTTGTGCCGGATGCATGATATGTAATTTTATATTTGTGATTTTTGAATTTTTTATTCACATAGGGGTAAGGTCTGCCTATTCTTGGAGGATCAAACCGGATTGTTGTCGTTGTTGTTTGGACTAGTTTTTTTATATTAAATTGATGTAACTTAATAATTTTTTTGAATGATAAGAATTTAAATTTAGGATGCAATGGTTCAAGTGACAATTCACCAAACTGGAACAAGAGCGTTTCGTCGTCTTTAAATCAACCGTTAAATCAACTAGAATCTTAGCTTTGGTTGTTTTTTTAGATACTTCATTATGGTGTATTTGTTATATATGTGTTTAGTGGGTATTGATTTCACATCGTTTTTAAGTTCAAAATTCAAACTTTAAACTACCATTCTCTTTGAAAATATGTGCACACATTATAAGCCGCATTTTTTAACGAGTAAATCTATAAAACATGAACGTGTCTATATATAATTAGTTTTATTTTACAAATCTTATCTGTATTATACATGAACTTATAAATGTACGTATTATATTTGTATCTAAAAAAGCTAAAAGAGGTTGAGAGTTGAGACTTCACCTCTAGACGTCTACCCATGCACACTGTTAGGACGGGCTCCTACACCCATGCACACTGTTAGGGGCTGTTTGTTTCAGCCTCTTAATGGTTCAGATGTCTGATTGATTCAGCACTTAATGGTTCAGACTGTTTATTTCAGCCTCTTAATGGTTCAGATGTCTGAATGGTTAAGAGATTTGCCTCTGAATGGTTAAGTATTATACAGAGTCTGAATGGTTAAGAACTCTTATCTGAATTGATCAGTAATTTGCCTCTGAATAATTAAACAATATACTAGCTCTTAATGGTTCCTCTTACTGGTTCAGCACTTACCCATTCAGAAGTTACCAAACAGCCCTTACTCGGACTGGTTCGATCCTGGAAAGGACTCTGGGACTCTGAAAGCTTCATCAATTCATCCTAGGCATCACCCATCCCACATTCTTCCCACTATTCTCATGCCTCTGAATAATTAAACAATATACTAGCTCTTAATGGTTCCTCTTACTGGTTCAGCACTTACCCATTCAGAAGTTACCAAACAGCCCTTACTCGGACTGGTTCGATCCTGGAAAGGACTCTGGGACTCTGAAAGCTTCATCAATTCATCCTAGGCATCACCCATCCCACATTCTTCCCACTATTCTCATTCCTTCCGAGCGATCATTTGTAGGCATTAGGTATAGAACAGTTTTTGTTTACCTCTTTCTAGTGTAGGGTAAACAATGTATTCACTGTATAATATTTTCTAGGTCTTTATATCCAAATCTCACTCAAAACCTCTCCGATTGCTGAGATAAAGTCATTTAGGAAATCCCTCCTTTAATTTTCTATCCATTATTTCTAATCAGAGGTGATAAAGATTTTGATCATTGTTTCTCTCCATTTTAGATATCCACTCTTTATCTTTGTTTATGATTAAAGTATTTACTTATCCCTTGCAAAAACACATCATGGTTTTTCTGGTTTCGTTTTCTCTCCCCTCCATTTACTTTCCCCTCCATTTACTGTGCTTGAGTATGTATGGTGCAGTCTGAGCATTGAAGAATGGCGGGTAGGCGGTTGGTTAAGTCAGCTAGGTACAAGTCAGCAGTCAAGGACCAAGGTATCGATGGCATTTTGGAAATGGTACTTTCCCCCTATCCCTACAATCCTATTGTGCATGCCTTTTGTTTTGCAAACCTTTAAATAATCCAAAATATTGAATTAAAATCTACGCAAACTAGGTAACCATTCTAAGCAAATTATTTTGAAACAAATCAACAAACGCTTCATTTGTCCCACAGGCCTTTTCCATCTTTCCTTTTTTGTCTGGCCTTAAAGATGGCTTTTGCAGTCCGCATTTTTCCTCTTTTGAATAATCTCAATCATGCATTCTTATAACTTAATCTTCTTGTCAATATCACCTTGAATTTTCCAATAGGGAGAAGGAAGTAATAATGATATTATTTCTTGTGTAATGAATTGTTTGAGCTTAAGACTAAACCTAGATTTTGGAAAAACATGAAACAGTTTGATGTATATCAAATGTAATTGATCAACGATACTTTTGTGATGACCATGGAAAGGTTCATATTTACGCCTAATGACCCAATGTCATCAATCAAGCTCAATGTGGAGTTTAGGTTGATTACAGGTGCTTTTTCATTGATTCACTTGTATGATTTGAGTTAGTGCGATTACAATCGGTTTTAGTCGCTTGATTATATAGTAAGCAGATTCTTTTTTTTTTGGTTTTGTGTATCATTTTTTATTAGTTCACCCCTTGTCCCCTTTTCTTTACGTGATAATTACTTCAATTGATTCTGCTTCCGTTGATCATATTATGATCCTTTCAAAGAGAAAATTGGTCGATATCCAACCATTTTGTTTACTTATTCGCGTTTCTGATTTGCCACAACTTTCTTAATGTGCTTCTTTCCTCAATTGAAATTTAGGCCAAAGGTTTACTAAAGAGGGTACCACTATGAACCCGCCCTTGCTTAATCTTTCCCCGAATCAGGTTAGTAATGTCTAATGCGGCTTGGACAACTGGTCTGTAACACATTTTCATTTGGATGTGTAATGATTATACATGTGTATGTCTGTGTGTGTATCTTATCCGGTGGAATTTTGAATTGTTGAAAGGGTAAAAACTATATATTTGAGTTCGACGAATTCTCAGACCGTGATGCTTGCAGAGATTTCGTAGGTAAGTCACCTTGGTTACATTTGTTTTGTTGGCATTCATAATATTACTCCTTACTTGTTTGTTATGTACAGCTTCAGCCATCATTTCGTAGGGTGCTCTCTTATTGTTTGATTCGGAACGCTGCACATACTGAGGTGGCAATGAGTCGCGTCTGCCGGTGCTGGAAAGTCAAAAAATAATAAGTGTTATAATCTTTGGAGTTATATAAAGAAGCGTCTTTTTATAGCAAGTTATAGTAAGTTGTCATATCTTATTTACGTGTGATATCTTATTTTGGAACATAACTCATTATTGAAAATAAATAATCTTTGACTTTATATTCTGCTCAAATAATCGTCCGACCGGTGGTTGACCGGTGTTGCATTTTTTTAATTATTTTTTATTTTTAAAATTTAAAAGAATAGCGAGTTTTGGTGTTCAAAGTGGTGAGCTTTGCATTGACCATTGATGACCTTTGCAGTGTAATGTGGTGAGCTTTGCGTCATCTCATCGAATCATGTCTTCTTACCATAAGGTGTCGTGTCTTCTTACCGATGCAGGATTCGAATCCACATCTACATATCGCTCTACCATTTTAGCTAATAGAAAATGATTTATTTTTTCAAAGAGATTTTCCCTTGCGCTTAGACCTAATAAATACACATTTAAATCTTTTAAAATTTGAATTTTCATTGTGTTTCTAATCTATATTCAAATGTATCGCATATCACATTAAATGCATCATTGTTTGCAAAATTTTACTATCTAGAATATACATATGCATCATATTTGTATTAGGAGAATTTCATCATGACATACATCAATTTTGATTTTGAAAATGCATTGTCTTCTTATGTAAATGTTATACCACAATTCTGATAATGTAGAATAACATAAAAAAGCAAACAAAAAGTAAAAGAAGAAAGACAATAAACAAGCATCCATGTACACTCCAATAAGCACCAAATTGTCTAGTAGTTTTATCAACCGCCAACAATTTCGGACTGTATCCTCCTATTCTTAAAAGGAGGAGAACTTTTCACTAACGGTGTTCCCGCCCATGTGCAAACATTAATGCATCATTGATGTTGGACGATTAGAATGATCAACGGCGGTAGATTATACCATTTAATGTTCATATTATTTAAGGAAGTAGCGTATTGCACCATTGATTTTTGTACATGGAAAGATTTGTAATGAAAAGAAAATTGCGAAATATGGAAAGGTTTTCGTATTACATTTTCTAATCATATTAGGTTTGACACTTGAAGAAGAAGAGATAAAAAATTATGTTCTATGATATTGAGGATTTGTTTCGAAGTCGTTGGAAAAGCCTTCGAGATTATACCGACATGCCACATGCAAACCAGTATGGACTTTGGGCTCCAGCCAATCGTTTGGTTTTTGATGAGATGCAACATGATCGCCCAACTTTGGCTAGGGAACACAACACCCTGTTGGATTCTTTAAATACCGAACAACGCGCAACATATTATGTTATAATGCAATTTGTATATACTAACTCGGGGAAAGTCTTCTTCCTCTATGGATATGGTGGTACTGAAAAGACGTATGTATGGAGAACTTTATCAGCTGCTTTACGGTATAAAGGTGATATAGTCTTGAATGTCGTATCAAGTAGAATAGCATCATTACCTTTGCCTGATGGTAGAACCGCTCATTCTCGATTTATGATACCATTGAACCCAGATGAGAATTCTACGTACAATATCAAGCAAGGAACACCTCCAGCGCAACTCTTGAATAAGGCAAAATTAGTTATTTGGGATGATGCACCGATGACTCATAATTTTGCTTTGAAGCTTTAGATAGGAGCTTGCGTGATATTCTTTGATTTTCCAATCCATTGAGTGAAGAACAAATTAAGGGGGTGTTTGTTTTTTTGGCCAGAAGAGCTTCTGGCTTCTTTTGTATGTGCCGCGCAGACGCGCGCAGATGCTAAGCTCTGCAGATTGTTTGTTTTTTGGAAGACATTTCACTCAAAAAGGTCTTCCTGCATCTTCTTGGAGAAGACATTAACCTATGTCTTCTAACATCTTCTCCATTTTTTTCTTCTACTTCTCTTCACCACCACCACCACCGTCCACCACCATCACCACCGTCCACCATCACTGCCACCGCTGTCCACCACTACCGCCACCGTCCACCATCACCGTCACCGTCCATCACCATCATCGTCCACCACCACCGCCGTCAACGTCCACCACCACCCTTCACCACCACCCACCACCACCACCACAATCGTCCATACACCACCACCGTACACTACCACCATTAATTTATATAGCAGTCTACAAACATTAAAAACAAATAGTCTTCTTCTTGCAGACCGTAGACCTTCGGTCCACCACTTCTCCTGCAGATGTCTACAGTAGTGGTCCGCAGACTGCAGACCTTTTCCTGCCGAAAAAACAAACACCCCTTAAATGTTCGAAAGAAAAACAATAGTCTTTGGTGGAGATTTTTTACAGATATTTCATGTCATTATAAAATGAACCAGACAAGACATCATTGGTGCGACGGTTAATTCTTCCCACATCTGGAAAGACTGCATAGTTTTTGCATTTAACAAAGAATATGTGGTTGCAATCAATGGCTCAAGATAGTACTTGCGACCGCTTGGTTAATTTTGCTAATTGGATAACAAGTATTGGAGACGGAGTTACATGAGATGACCATGATGGTTATGCAGAAGTAACAATTCCTGATGATATGTTGCTTCAATCTTCTAGAGATCCAATTGCAACTATAATCAATTTCACTTATCTAGACTTCTATAAAATAGTAGATGATCAAAGTTATCTTCAGGACCGTGCAATCTTGACTCCAACCTTGGAGTAGTTGATTCTATAAATGAATATATGACATTAATGAATCCAAATGAGGAATTGCGCACTTATCTAAGTACAGAAAAGGTCGTGAATTTAGACTCCACTTCGAGTGTTTTTACTGACTTGCATACTCCCGAGTTCTTAAATATGATTCTTGCTTTCGCAGTACCAAACCATGAGCTTATCTTGAAAATAGGCAGTCCCATCATGTTGCTTAGATTCATTGATCATTCGATGGGTTTGTGTAATGGTACATGATTAATAATCACTCAGTTGGCTAATCATTCGATACAAGCTAAGGGAAAAATTTGTTTGGAAGACATATGGCTCAAGAATCTATTATTCCAAGATTATCACTGACACCATCAGATTCAAGAATTTCATTTAAATTTCAAAGAAGACTATTCCCTGTGGTCACTTTATGTGCAATGACAACAAATAAGAGTCAAGGCCAATCATTAAAACATGTCGGATTATTGTTACGGAAACCGGTTTTTAGTCATGGATAATTATACGTTGTGGTTTCAAGAGTAACAAATCGAGATGGTTTGAAGATTCTTATTGAAGATTCCACTAAATGTACCGCTAATGTTGTTTACAAAGAAGTTTTTCAGAATTTGTAAATTAGATGATATTTTAGTTTTTGATAATCTAACAAAGTTATATTCCATTATATGGTGCAACGCACTGATACTAGTAATGGAAAAAAGCAAAGAAAATGTAAAAAAGAATAAAGAAAACTCAACTAATATACTGAGTAGTAAAAAGAAGAAACAAAATTTAAGTAAAAAAGATGAATAATGCTCCGCAATAAACTTAGTGGATTGAATAATATGCAATGTCATACACAAAGAAAGAAACTGAATTTAATAATTATAAAAGTACACACATGTAAATTGCAAAGGAAGGAATTGAACTATTGAAGAAGCATAATACAATCAAATAAAGAATTTAAATCAATAGATTACAAAACCAAACCTGATTATATTTGCGAACCATGAAATTACAAAAGCTTGTACGAGAATTCAAAAGAGAGACTATCCAAAAAAGGTTGAGAGGTTTATGATATAGATTTTGATGGATCGGTAAACAATGTACGAAGTAATAAAAAATATGATGATAAATTAGGGTGTTCATACCTCAAAAGAAACTTAAATCTTGTTTAATCAATTTGGTGAGGAAATATCGAATCTAAAGTCAGAAATAGAGGGATGACCTTGTGCGAATCTGGCACAAGTGATCAAGTGAAAAAGCAAAAAGCAAAGAGAAATAAATCTGATTGAAAACACCTTATTACCCTTGGATATATGTTAATGTTATGTGAATCATGGCTGCTTTATCCAACGGTCCATATAATTTCTTATTTCTTTCATTAGATTCTATTCTTACCAGAACCAAAGTCTATATATATATATATATAGACTTTGGAAATTAAACATTATAATAAAAAATGTATTAATTAAATAATCCTATATAGGATATAATAAAACATTATTATTGAATGAAGTACTAATGCACATGTAGATGCACATGTGGCATGTCACATGTGCATTAGTACTTCATTCAATAATGTTTTATTATATCCTATATATAGGATTATTTAATTAATCCATTTTTTATTATAATGTTTTGTTAATTAAAACCATTTTCATTAGTATTGCATTCAATAATGACCATTACTTTTGTTTACAATTTTTGTTTTTAAATAAACATACCAATACATATTCCACCAGTTTAAAACATATTTTGTTTTCATAATTAAAGTATATCTATAAAATATTTTTTAACTTTATCGATGTTTTGAAAAATTAAGTTTTATATGATTTTTAAAAACAGTAAATCATTTCTCTTTTACTGCTTTTAAAGAAAATACTTATAGAGTCTCTAGTGCATGTACATCTATATTTAAATTATATTATTCGAAAAAAGATATATCTTAGAGTTAAAAAAATATTCATCCAACACATATTATGTCACCATTAGAAAAATAAAATAAATAAAATTATATGTATATAGAATATCAAAAATTTAGAATGTATACGAGCCCGTGCGAAGCACGGGGTTAACACTAGTAAATTGTCAAATTTAATTATTATCATGTCTCACATGCTTTATTTGTGTCTAAATTTTAGCTTCATTTTTAAGAATGTGTTATTTCAAAAAAAAAGAATGTGTTCTTAATTTGAATACATTTTGTGGAAGTACAGGAAAAAATATTAGATTGAAAGATCTCCTTTGGATACACGTGAAAATAACGAATAAACAATAAATCGTAGAGTTGGTTGAATTTTTAGAATTTTATGGTGTATTTGTATTCATTTTCAAAGTTTAAAATATGTTTCTTATTAAAATATATGCATTCATTATTATAAGTCATATTTTTAATAAATCAAACATATTATATACGAACGTATCCGTATCCGTACTTATCCGAACGTATAAAATGTATAACAAGACATATTTTTAAAAAATGATCTGTATTATACACC